GTGTGTGTGTGTGTGTGTGTGTGTGTGTGTGTGTGTGTGTGTGTGTGTGTGTGTCTATAGTTATGAGGGCCAATTTTTAATATTTTGACTTTGTGAGGATACTTTGGCCGGTTATACAAATTCAAAGGAATGCATTGTGCCAATGGGAGAAAAGTGTGTGTGTGTGCGCGTGTGCATGTGTGTTTATTACCTCGTGGATCTATGTGGGCCATGTATGTGAGGGTACAGTGGTTGGGCCCCTGGCTCTGGATCATGTAGCCAGTCTGAATGGACACAGCTCTCACCATGTCCTTTTTCGGAGGGTATTTCTGTAGAGACAACACACAAACACATAATTCATCATCCTTGCGCATTGAATCTACCAACAACCTGGTTCTCAAACGTGTCCTTGATCAGAACGCTGAATAATCTTAATTTCTGCTTATTACACATTGCCAGCTAATTTGCCTATTCAATTTATTTATTGGCTTTCATACACTACAGCTAAGGTAATCCATCAGTGAATGCAAATAATACACACATTCACCCTCAAGCCCAAGTCACTGCTGCATAACAATAGCCTTATTTTAATATCTGCTTCATGTAACCTACACAATCCTCAGAACTTTGTCTTGAGCTCTGTGTGAACATTTATCAAATAATATAAAGGGTGTGCAGAGTCAGCACTGGAATTCAAGGGTGCTTTTTGTGCTGTTTTTAAGCTGCAGGTCAAGCTGATTCTCTGCTTCACAATCATATTTCTAATGCAAATCCAGTCTACACTAAACCCAGTGAATTACACAGCAGCACAGGCCAGCGTTAGCCCACTATTCCCCACAGCCAGCTCATTTGAGTACGCTTCTAAGAATATTATTCATGATTGTAAAGTGCAATGCTGGTTAGCCTGTGCTAATTGGGACAGGCACACAGCCCACAGAGCAGCAGTCAGCTAACGATCTGTTATCAGAGGAGAACATCAGATAACTGTTTTATCTTTTCCTGTTATTTGACTCACAGCTGAGGTACCCACACTTCTTAACCACTAGGTTTCATTGTAGGACAGTTTCTGTGAATGTTTTGCAGCTTTCTTGAAACTTAGCATTACACTTGGCTTAGCAAAGCAGAGGTATTATTTGTATACCCAACATGCGCAAAATGACAATGCTAGCATAACGCTGTTTTGCAGGTCCATGTAATGTCTATGCTGTTCACCATAGCTTAGCATGCTAACATGCATTTGGCAGGTAAAATTACTTAAACTTGATTTTGTTTTGAGGAAGAGTTCACCAAAGACTACAGGCCTCTGTTGACCATGACTGGCTAAACAAAATGTAATCATCCACCCAGTAGTTGTAATATTTCAGACTGCACCAAAGTGGTGGACCAGTGGTGGCATTGCATCTCTGCAGCCATGCTGTCACTGTGGCTTAAAGAAAGTACTCAATAGATAAGCTGATAGAGCAGTGGTTGGCTGTAGCACTTACATAAACATATAAGCCTCTCCTGCAAGTATTAATTAGACCATAACAATCTGCCCATTGTAGAACGGGAGCTTTGCAGTGGAGCAAACTAGAGATACAATGGCAGCTGGGTCCTAAGGTACATTTGCTAACCTGTCGAACTGTTCAAAATGTATGATTGAAAAATAATCCTGGACGAGAGCTTGTAGAATGTAAAATCAGATACTGCACAAGTGGGCTGAGTCCTGGCAGCGGATGCACAAACTCAACACTCCACTGAGTATCCTCTTAAGCTACTTCACAAGTCAAACTCTCAGATACTGCTGACTATCAAGGGTGACCTTGGCTAATCACACACAGTCATGCACACATGTATGGACGTCACAACCTGCACACAACTCCACACACACACACACACACACTCACACTCACACACTCTCTATTATGTTCGTAACCACTTATTGATGCAGGAATGCGGAAGGCGAGACGGAAGTCAACCGCCAACAGTCACATGAGAGCTCTTATCCTTCTGTAAACATGATTTTAGTGAGGGAAAATGGGATTGAGGAAGGAGAGACAGAAAAGGAGGAAAAAAAGACTGACAGAAAAGCTAGACAGACAGAGCAGAAAAAGAAAATGAGACATGAAAAAACAGGAGCGATAGACAGAGTGAGAGAGGAAGAGCTAAAACAGTTACTTGATTAGCTTATTGCTCTTAGAAAATCAATCTGCAATTATTTTGATATTTGATTTATCATATATCTCAGTCTGGACTTGCAGTTTTACTTTGTCTTAGTGATAGTGAATTGAATATCCTTTGGTTTTACAAAGCAAATGCTGTTCACAACACTGTGAAATGCATTTTCACTGTTTTATGACATTGTCAAGACCAGACAATCAATTGATCTGCAGATTAGTCAATAGTGGAGATAATCAGTTGTTGTAGCCCTGGAGAGATGAGTACAAGCTTAGAAAAATGGACAACAAACACATGGAGCCAAACTAAATGCAGGATTTCAGGACTGATTCAAAATGAAAGTCACTCACATGGTCACAGTGTTTGTTTTCTCTTACTGGCCTTTGTCAGTGAAGTTACTCAAGTTCTTAAAGAGCATGAATGTAAGCTGAAGTAAAAATGCAAATATATTCAAATGAATTACATTAAATATTCCAACACATAATAAAGCATTGCAAGCCAAAGTACATTTATCATTTGCCCAGGTAGATGAGTCAAGTGCAGGAGGTACATTAAGACTCTGGGAAGGGGCCAAATTGTTTCTCCAGTTCCTGCCTGGAAGCATTGGTTCCAGATGAGCAGCCTGTTAAATGGCTAACGCACACAGTTTTGTTTTGCTACCTTTCCAAAGTGCAGCACAACGCCCTTAAGCTAAACTGCATAAAAGTTCATGTCAGTTAACCCAATTTGAATTCCATCCACCAAGAACGTTGAGTTTCCACCCCTATCCATTTTTTGGTTGGTTTGGTTGTAAGCAAGATAAAATCAAATTTACTGAATGTATTTCTGTGAAACTTGGCAGAAGACCAGTTTAATACTGGTGTCAATGTGGATCAGGGGAATTATTTGTACTTTCCTTAAAAATTGCATGTTCGTTTGTGTTTTTTACATTTTCACCGTTTTCCCAAGAAATAATTTGTGGATCTTTTGGGCCTTGGTGGAGGTATGCACTTTTCTGAATACCATTCTGGTTTTAAAATTCTTTCACAATGCACCTTTGAATACGCATGCACATGAGTTATAGTTTCCTGAATTGCTGAATGAATTCCCAGTGGAGTATGTGTAACGTGTGGGTGTGTCTGTGTGTGCATATACTCACAACATGTTTGACGGAGTAGTTCATGATGATATAATCTTTCCCTATTGGAAGCCAGGAACGAAGTGTGATGACATCACGGTTCCGAAGAGGATTTGGGCACTTCCCTGTAAATAAACAATATAAATCTGGTGAACTCCCCATTGTAGATCAATGTGCACTTGTGTGTATCTGCTTCCCTTCACAGTTCCAAATGAAATTAGTGACAAATGAGTGCAGATGCTTGCTGTAAACAGTTTCTGCAGCATATGTTGTGAGTGTGTCACATACATGAGTAGTAACCGACATCCGCATTGACCGTGAGTTTCCCGATGTCGAAAGTCTCTACGACGTTTGTGTCCCATTTCCGTCTGTATTCGATGTCATGGAGCACGTCGTACATGGTCTCAGCTGATACGTCCTTGCACACCATCCGACACTGAGAGACAGAGAGAGACACAGGTTTTGGTCAGGCAATAAAGAAGAAACTACAAAGCGCCAACACAGCTGAATTATGGACTTGACTATTTTGCTGAATATATATTTATCATATAACCAATTCAGGCTATGCAGCAGGAAAATCCATTACATTTTAATGATGCTGCATCCCTTAAGTTCAGAGTAAAGTACTGTGCCAGTGTTGAGGAGAACTACAGAGTTTGCTGGTATTCATGCTTACAAAGGTAAAAGTAAACAAAAAAAAAACCTGCTGCTGGTGATCTGATATGCAAACACACATAAATGAATTTAGAAGATGTATGTAATTATAAGTGTGGAAGGATCCTGCACATACTCAGGATAGGACAGTGACGTGTGAATGACAGATCAGATGGCTGGAGAGTGTCAGTGTCTGAGAGCAGAGAAAAGACAGGTTGTGAGCTTGTGTGAGTGTGTGTTTGTACAGCTATCTTTGTGAGGACCAGTTTTAGTCTTCAACTCACTTTGTGACCCCCTTTAATCGGTTGGGGATCAAGACTTGGTTTTAGGGTTAGGGTTAGAATTAGGTGTAGGTTAGGTTAAGGGTTAGGGTTTGACATTTACTTTGGATGGTTAGTGTTAGGGTAAGGGGCTGGGGAATGCATTATGCCAATGAGTGTCCTCACTAAGATAGCTGTACAAAACGTGTGTGTGTGTGTGTGTGTGTGCGTGTGTGTCTGTGTGTGTTTGTGTGTGAAAGAGGGAGAGAGAGGGAGAAGATGTTCCAGAGGCAGGCCATGGACCACAGATGAGCCATTACTAGACCTGAGCTCTTAAATTGAAAACAACACATTCAGAACAGGTCAGAGACAAACACACAGGCACACACAATTGTGGGAGTGAAGGGGAAGCTGAGGGTCTGGCAGCTCACACAGCGATAGGTCCCCTGCTTTTTTGGACAAAGGGATTAGGATATGTACAGTTTACAACTAGAAATGAGACTGAACCATTTCTGGCTGCAACCCAGATTCAATGAAACATATCTAAAAATAGGTGGAAATAGGCTGGCAAGGTTGGATCCAAAAGTCTACTTAAAGAAATCTAAGATAAAGTATGGTGATATATTTTAACTCTAGGTGGAGTTAGCTGTTTATATCCATACATGTTGATGTGGAACTAGTCTTGTGTAGGTGTGTCACACAACTTACTAATGAAACCACTGGGACCCATGGCTATGCCAGGGTTGAAGTAGATGGCAGTGCACATATGGGCCATGTAAAGAGCGGTCTGCAGCCACGGAGTCAAGTTGTTACTACAGTTACAATTATCAGGGGGATTTAATAGTAACAGGAGTCTTAATAATAACAACAAGGTGGGAGAGGAGGGACAGTCACAGAGAGATAAAGACATGATGGGACAAAGCTATGGAGATTTAGAAACACAAACATTAAGAGCATGTGAGCGGCTAGAGGAGCAGCAGAAAAACAGAGTAAGAGAAGAAGAGTAAACGAGAAAGAAATGGATGGAGCTCGTCTGTCCCAGATGATTTTAACTCCCATCACAAATCAGTCTAATAGGTTTCAAGCTCAGCCTGTACCATTGTGTTTCCTGTGTTTTCCTCGCAGGCTTAATTTAAGAAGATGATCACCATCTTCACACTACACTGGGCTTTACAGCTGTTGAGACAGGAGGTCTCCTCTCAGTCACATCCATACCAAAAGCTTGTGAAATATCATGTGGTGCACATTAGGAGCAATAGAACATGTGCACTTGCAACTGAATCTGTAGAGCTCCTTCAGATATGAATCAGAAAAACTTAAAGGAGACATATGCTCATATTCAGTTTCACTTGAAAAGGTTTACATGCTCTAATGTTTAGAAAACACATCACTTTCCTCAAACTGTCCATTGCTGCAGCTCCTCTTGCCTGGTTTTAGCTCTGTCTCTTTAAGTCCCTCCTCCCTATAAAGCCCAGTCTGCTCTGATTGGCCAAAAGCCTACTCTGTTGCTATTGGTCATCTGTTTCCACTGTGTGAGATGTCGACATCAGAAAAAGAGGTGTCACACACGTAGAAGACGCAGACAAATATTCAAGGGAGTTTGTGGTGGTGGCAGCTGACGACAGTGTCAGTTTGCTGCAGTTAATATCAGGCGATCTATGCAGCAAAGTTAAGACGTCACTTCCTGTCTCTGTCTGCTGCACCCAGCTGCTCCACCTCTCACCTGAAAAGAGGATATGTTGCTGTTGTGAACACGTCTGTGCAGAAAACCACAGACTTGAAGGTCGTGTCTGAAAACTGCTTCTGTCCCTCTTCACACAAACTGACGATCACATGTATTTAGTTATTAATTGATGGTTGGATGGTTGGAAAACCCAGAGACTAAAGTTTTACTGATTTAGCAGACATACACTTAAGGAACATCTCTGTCAAATAGTCATGTTGAGCAAATGCATCATGAAGAGCATTTCCTTTATTTCTTCTGAGAAAGTGTCAGATGATGCTGGGGAATGATGTCATACTAAAGGGAAGAAAGCGTAACTGTGAGGATGGAGGACTCACAAAAAGTCCCCACTTCAGAAAAATGCTTTAAGGTAAAGACCCAAATTAAGTTAATTGCTCTGGGACCAGAAATTACTAGAACTCTTAATTGACCCATTTTGAATCCAGTTGTTCAAGACATGTTTCATGATTTCTGAGTCGAACATGACAGGTTCAAACAATAGGCCTCATGCAAGAACTGCTCATACAAAACAAATTGTGCATATGAGCTATTTAAAAGAACCTGTAGCAAATTTCTCATGTTTTGAGTTTTCTTGCAGGTGGCATTTATCATATTCACTTCTCTGTTCGGGTTTGTTGAATCTCATGTGGCATGTTTGTACGAATTCACTGTACGAACAAATGCAAGACAAATTTAGGATAAGAAAACAAACATGCTGCATGGGACCCAATGTTACTATGTGCTTTATAGCTATATGTGCACTCACTGCTGTGCCACAGTTGTTTAAATCAACTTTATTTATAAGGCCCTAAGACAAAGGCAGAGTCACAGGGCTTCACGACAGCCACACGATGGAATAAAGACGAGTGAAGACACCACAACACAAAAACCCTTAGAGAGAACAAGTAGATGTAGAATGGATGCAGGGAGCAGGAAAATACAGATTGAATGTTTATGACTAAACAACAGAATAGGAACCTTTAAATGTCTGGATGTGATCCAGGGCATGAGTATAACCTCATTAATATATTATTATTATTATATATTAATCCAGGAAATCACAGGAGCTAATTATGGTTCTATTTAAGAGGTAGAATGAGTCATGATTTTGCTGTCAGACATTGATTCATACTCTGGAGAGAAATCTAAAAATGTGCGTTAGACTCCAGTTATTCATACTCAGAGATGAGATGGCTCAGTCACTTGTAAACTTGCAGCCAAGTGTAAAGTGTGAAAGTATACACTCCAATATCCCGGTAAGCAGAAGGTCACATAGGCCAAATAAAGCCACATGTTACAGTTAATACATACCTGGTATTAACATGTGGTTTTTGTGATCTGATCACAAGTGGACAGCTCTGAGTGTGTGCGTTCACACCTGGCATAAAAAGGTGGCCCCACATGTGTCTCGTGATCGAGCACACGTCCCTGCTCTATACAAACAAACATGTCATTTCTGTTCACGGAGACCAAGTCATGTTGTTTTTAACCGGTCTGACTACAAAAGTGTGTCCGATGTCAACTGTGTGTGTGTGTGTGTTGTCACATCATTGATCAAGGAACTAACACAGTCGACAAAACTGTGTTCCCACCTGAGCTTTGTGAAATGCACAAAAATATGTTACTGGTTGCAAAAGCGTCACAGAGCTAAATCATACACAAACACTTTCACACCCACAGTTGGAGTGAGGGCTTTAAATAAAACTAGTCAGCAAGTCTTTCTCTCACAGTCCAAAGACATGCAGATAATTGGAGACTCCAAATTGACCATAGCTGTGAATGGTTGAAGTATATGACTTGGTTTAGCATAGGCTAATGAATGGATAGTTGCTGCTGTAATACTGGACTGAATGATATATCAACTTAAACCTCATTAATTAACGTGTAAATGAATTCAAACATTTCTGAAGATTAGTATAATTTGATTGGTATGATCTCTGTAAAGGTACATTGATATTATCAGTTCTGTATTAGACTGTACAGGTGTCTCCATATATATCTCTATCTAAGTGGCCACAGGGGTGTATAAAGCTTACAATACAAAAAATACAACATAAATTTTTATACAGGAATAATACTCATCTATAATATTATAACACTTTCAGTAGAATGACTTCTTTTACTTGCATTTTCCTATTAATACTTTCATCAGCCATTTTTAGATAATAATTTTGATTGCAGGACTTTTACTAGTAACAATGTTATTTTATATCATGGTATAATAACTTATAATATACTATACTATAACTATATAACAACTTTAATTCAATAAAGAATGAAAAGTTTCAATCACTTTGAGAAAGAAAACAGAGCATGGGAGGTCCGGTGGAAAAATCAGTGGGTCAGAGACAAGCTCATTAACTGTTCAAATGTGATTTGAGATTGTTGAGTCATCTGCTGCAGAGCTGACACAGCAAATGCAATGACAATCTATTAAAGGGATAGTTCACCAAAAAATGAAAATTCTCTCATCATCTACTATGATCTACGCATGAACGTGGTCAGGGGGAAGATAACAGAGGACATTTGGCTAAATACATGTAAATGACAAATTTGAATGTTGTGGCTTATGGACACTTATGGACACACCACAGGGGCAGCAGGGAGACACTATATGTTTTTTTCTGGGGAGACAGTTCTTTCTATTAATTACAGGCTTGTCTCTGACTCTTCAACATGGACTCACCACATCGGATCAACAAAAACACATAAAGTCTTCAGTATGATTCGTCTATAAAAAGAATATGAATATGAACTGTGTCCAATATCTTTTAAAAGAGATTACCAGTATCCATAAGGTCTCAAATTTAAAGTCTGTGTCCAAGCGCACATGTAGATAGAAAAGCAGGGAGAACAATGGATGCATTGTATCCACAGGCAACAGAAACAGTGCAGTGGTTGGAGAAAGAAGGGAAAACAAATGTGAAAGGTGAAAGAGGAAAAGTGAAGGGAGCAAAAGACGTCCAGGACAGAATGAAGACGTACGACCTGCTCAATATATGTGTGGGTAATTCGGTTATGCCTTAATTCAGTAAACTAAACAGATGATGCAAGGAGCGAGGTGGGTGAAAGAGAGTTTAGAAAAATCAGGTACAGAGGGAGACAAAACACAGGTACACAAACACTAAGTGTTTGTGAAGTTGTTTCGTCGAGCGTGTATACACTGTACTGGCTGCCCACTCAGAGTAAACCCAACGACCTGTCAACCCTGCACATCCCACCTACTCCACCCGCCTCATTCCATGTCTCACCACTCTTGTTCTCTCCCTGTGATTCTCTTCCCTCCATCCTTTCCTCCCTCTAACTTGTCAACTCTCATCATTTGCTCCCCTGGGTGCTGATACATGATTGTGGAAGACAATTATGAAAAAAATAAATAAAGAGGGGTGAGTGTGTGTGATTCAGAGCCAGGCATCCCTCTGTGTCAGCGTGGGAGAGGGCAAACCCCAGGAGTGTTTGGTGTGTGTGTGTGTGTGT